TTGAGTTCCACCTTCATAATTTTCATTTGTGTCAGTGTTCACAGTAATCATTTGATGTCATATTAAAGCAGTGTATTAGCTAATTCTTAGTTGAAAGCTAGTATGACATCATTGATGATTAATGGAGGCATCTGTCAGTTGTTGGTATAGCATATGTAACATCTTACCTAGTGTGGACGTCTTGTGGAAAATGAAAGCACCTGCTAAGAGTTAATATATTATATACACGCTAGTAATTAGCTCATTACATACATGCTAATACTTAGCTCATTACATACATGTTAATACTTAGCTCATTATTTACATGCTAATTATTAGCTCATTACATACATGCTAATATTAGCTCATTATTATACTTGCTAATACTTAGCTCATTATATACATGCTAATACTTAGCCCATTATATACATGCTAATACTGGATTACCTGGAGAGAGTTCCGGGGGTCAATGCCCCCACGGCCCGGTCTGTGACCAGGCCTCCTGGTGGATCAGAACCTGATCAACCAGGCTGTTACTGTTATATACATGTTAATACTTAGCTCATTATGTACATGCTAATACTTTGCTCATTATATACATGCTAATACTTAGCTCATTATATACATGCTAATACTTAGCTCATTATATACATGCTAATACGTACTTAGTTCATTATATACATGCTAATACGTACTTAGTTCATTATGTACATGCTAATACTTAGCTCATTACACACATGCTGATACTTAGCTCAGTACATTCATGTAATACTACAGTACTTAACCCTTAAACTGTCCAAAGGTAGATCACCGTTCATGTGCGTACCGCTCTGAATATTTTTTGGGAAAAAAATTGCTTTTTGTTTAAAATGAAGAGCACACTTTTCCCGGCATCCCCGAATTTTGTCATACTCCGCACAGTGAGTGCACAGACTCATTCACTCATGTCTAGGCAACACAAGCTTATCGTGCCAAGGTTGTAAGTATGTAAAATAAAACGTAGATCTACAATTGAAGAGCTATGCACGTGGACGTAGCTCTACGTTTGGACAATTTAAGGGTTAATAGTAATAGTTGGTACAGTACATATATGCAACATTTTTCCTATGTACAGATATAATGTTGGTGGTTTAATCTTTATTAGAATACACACTTTTTTTTTCATGTATACATACTCTTGTTTTTTCAACAAATACTTTCCTTTGTATTAATTACCAACTATCATTGTATTGTGTGCTGTACAATTTACAGTTGCTCCTACAAAATCATGGACTTCCTTATTTCTGGGTTATGTGCATCCACAGGGTAAGGGGACTCCAGAATTCCTATGTAAGAAGGACTTACAGGGTGACTCATTGAAAAGGGAAAGGGGAGCTAAGGAACACTTGTCTTGTTGCATTTGCAGAGCAAGTGCCCTGGTTTTATTTAGTGTATCTTAGGCAGCAATAAAAATAGCAGTATTTTTTTTAAAAAGTTTTTAGTCACACTTATGGAAGTGCGATCTAGGATTTTGTTTTTTTGTGATAGTCAATTATTCCAGCAGTAGATTACAACCAGCAGTGTAGTTAATATTTTGGTAAATGGGCATTTTATGCCTGTGTTTTTCTTAAATGAGTACAAATTAACCTATAAAACCATCAACCTGGGGATTTTAACACATGCTTTGCCATTTGATTTTTGTTTCTTCTTCTTCTTTCAATAAATTGGCCACATCCCGCCAAGGCAGGGTGATCCAAAAAAGAATAAACAAAAGTTTTTCTTCTTTTATATTTAGTAATTTATATAGGAGAAGGGGGGTTACTAACCCCTTGCTTCCGGCATTTTAGTCGCCACTTACGGAGGGAGGATTCTGTTCCACTTCCCCATGGAATATTATTAATTATTATTTTATTTGGGGCTGATGGAGATTATAAGAGGGCTCAAGTGCCCCTCCTCTTGGTACTGCCACTATATCCAGAATATTTACTGATAACCAACATGCAAATAGTTTCCGTTTTATTCAGTGTTGTTCTGATAGTGCCTATTTTTCATGCTGGCTCCTGACCTATTAGGTGAAAAGTAACCATAAGATTTCATTCACATGTGATCAGTAACTTAATAAGAGGGATGTAACAGAAATATATCTGAAACAAAACAAACAAACAAACAAAAAAAAGCAGTTTATTTTTTTATTGATACATCGGCCTTCTCCCACCAAGGCAGGGTGCCCCGAAAAAGAAAACTTTCATCGTCATTCACTCCGTCACTGTCTTGCCAGAGGTGCACTTACACTAAAGTTATAAAACTGCAACATTAACACCCCTCCTTCAGAGTGCAGACACTGTACTTCCCGTCTCCAGGACTGAAGTCCGCCTGCTGGCTTCCCTGAATCCCTTCATAAGTGCTACCTTGCTCACACTCCTACAACACGTCACATCCTAAAAACCATTTGTCTCCGTTCGCTCCTATCTAACATGTTCACACATGGCTGCTGGAAGTCAAAGCTCCTCGCACAAAAAACCTCCTTTAACCCCCTTCCTCCAACCTTTCCTGGGCCGACCCTTACCCCGCCTTCCCTTCACTACAGATTTATACACTCTCGAAGTCACACAAATATACAATTTTGCATTTGTAGCTTTTAATAATAATAAAAATAATATTTGCTCTTTGGAGGGACATCTGAACTGTCATATCTGAGCACCTCTGAAAGACAGTGATTATGTGTGAATGATGGTGAAAGTCTTTCTTTCTTGGGTCACCCTGCCTCAGTGGGAGACAGCCAGCATGCTAAAAAAAATAATGATAATAATACTGCAGTTTATTAGCACAAGGTACATAGTTTTTGTGAAACTGGATGACATTTACTGTAATTGTATGCATGGATAGTCCTTGGTTATGCTGAGTATTAGTTTTACGGCTCCTTTAGAAACATAACCCCAGCAAATTTTGTAGAGTCGACTATATTCCATTTCATCACAAAGCTCATCTTTATCCTTCACCTTATCAAGCAGCCCTTGTATAAGTATCTTGGAATAAAGAAAAGAAAATCCACATGCTCTGCATTTATATTTTTATTCTGGATCATATAATGGGTGTTTGGTCATTCAGAACTTAAGTATCCAATCTATCTGTTGAGTATATTGGCCTTTCACATGTGCAGTATTCTAATGCTTTTGTATGCAGAACTATAACATTTGCTCTGTAGCCATATTTCCATTAAAATTCATGTTTTTACTTCTTCCCTTTCATTTCTCAATAAAGGAGTAGTAGATATTCACTCTGCTAACCTATCATTTGTAAATATTTTATGTTTAAGATACACTACAAGGAAAAGGCATCTTGCCATGCTACATTGTGTTTTAATATCAAGTACGTACATATTGCAGTGTTGTTATAATTGGAGGAGGCTAACATTACCAGGAACTGTTATTATATTACTCGCACCTATCAGGAGATATCCTTTCACCTAAGCTTTTAGCATTTTATTAATAGTTGTGCAGAGGTATTGCAGTTGTGCAGAGGTATTGCATGTAATATGCATACAGGTAGACGTTATTTAATATTTAAGTAACTGAAAGTGTAACTTCTATATCTAGGACTTGTTGCATTTTGTGGTTCAAGACTTGTGTATCATCATGTAAGATATTTTATTATGGATATGTTTTGGTCCTGGGACCTTGTTCACTCCAAGTAATGTCCAGAGTGCTTCAGCAAGTCTCTAACCTCTGGGTATCTTTATTGCAGATGTTTCGCCATCCAGTGGCTTTATCAATATGAATTCTAGAACATAATTTGAAGACAGTAGAACTATATACAGAAGATGAGGTAATCAGCCTCTCATCCTTGGAGTTAGTGTCAAGAGCACCGTAGTTGTGGGGACGTGTAGTAGACGAGGGCATAGTCACTGGTAGGCGGGATTCCCCAGTGGAAGTAGGTCATATATAGTTCTGCTGTCTTCAAATTATGTCCTAGAATTTGTATTGCTAAAGCCACTGAATGGCGAAGCGTCTACAATAAAGATACCCAGATGTTGCACGTGTCCTAATTTCATCTTGTCATCTTAATTTCATCATGTACAAGTCTTTAACCACAGCATGTAGTGTAAACCAAGTTTTTAACATATTGTCATGGTTTCCTGAGTGTAAGAATCACATAGAGTTTGGGATATTGGCAGTTTGGAGGGACATCTAAACTGTCGTATCTGAGCGCCTCTGCAAAGACAGTGATTATGTATGAGTGATGGTGAAAGTGTTGAATAATGATGAAAGTTTTTTCTTTTTTTGCGGGGGGTCACTCTGCCTGGGTGGGAGAAGGCCAATGTGTTAAAAAAAATATTGCAGTGCTGCTGGAGTTGTAGAAAGTTAGGCAAACTATCAAGACATTTTGTTGTTAATAGGGGTTGTCCTAGGAAAAGTTGGAGAGAGGGGGGTAAAGGAGGTTTTGAGTGCAAAGGGCTTAGACATCTAGCTAGCATGTGTGAGCATGTTAGGAGTGAGTGGAGGCAGGTGCTTTTCATGATGTGCTGTTGGAGTGTGAGCAAAGTATCATTTATGAGGGGATTCAGGGAAACCAGTTAGCTGGACTTGAGTCCTGGAGGTGGAAAGTACAGTGCCTACACTCTGAAGGAGGGGTGGGGATATTTGGAGTTTTGAACTATGGTATTGGTTCCCCTCTGGCAAGACAGTGATGGAGTGAATGATGGTAAAAAAATTTCTTCTTTTTTGGGTCACCCTACCTTGGTGGGAGATGGCCATTGTGTTAAAAAAAAATATGTATATTGTATATATAAATTACATACATGCACCCCTATTAGATATCAATTTTGTTTGTGGCTCCTTTTGCAGATTATCAAGGTAAGATTTGGAATTTGCCACTTTGTAAATGTTAATTTTGCAAGTGATGGAGGGCTTGATGTAATGGCTTAAATACTGCCAGAATATTTTTTCTACTGTATGCTTGAAAATCTACTCCATCTGCTATATATTGATGGGTTATACAAGAAAAGATTACCTATTAATGGTGGTATTAATTTGTTGGTTCAGCAAGTGCGGCAGAAACTCGAGACCACGACGGGTGCGGTAAGTGAAGGAGTGGCGAGTTCATTGGGTTTGATGGTTGAGATTTTTCATAATTGGTGTTTGTGGTGTACACTATGTAAGGTAGTTTTAAAAAGCAATATGATAAACACAGTTGAGTTTCATGCTCTTCTCAGTGAAATGCGAGAGTAGGTGCACAGTGTGTCTTGGTGAATTTCACTCTCTTTTATGTTGTCTTCCACTTCATTCCTTTCTTTGGGTGCTGCGTGCACATGCATATGTGCGCACACACACACACACATGGGGCCAGGAGCTTTGACTCAACCCCTGCAACCACAATTAGGTGAGCATGCACACACTCGTGTGCACACGCATGCATGCACACGCACACTCGTGAGCACATGCATGCATTCATGCACACACACTCACTGTTTTAAATTGTCTCCCTACTTTACACCTTTCTCTGCTGATGAATCCTCTCTCTGTCATGCTCCTTGCCCAGCTTCCTTACTGCTTGTGTTTATAGCATTTTTATTATACTAATCCCTTATCAACTTTTGAGAACTCCCACCTTGATTTTCCAACCTCTCACTTAGTATCTTTATGTACTGCACTTTATATTGTTATTCCTTTCTTCATCTATAGTCTACACAGTTCTTGGAACCCTGTTGCCACTTGTGCTTTCTCTTAAGTGAGCAGTACAAGTATCACAACTTAGTACATCAGCTTGCACTTATGTACAGTGTATAGTCTGACTTTCAGAAGACTGCCACACCTCTACAGTATCATCACAGTTTCCATAGAGCACCTGCTAACCTTCAGATCTTCCTCTATATATATTTTTTTTTTTTCAACAAACCAGCCGTATCCCACCAAGGCAGGGTGGCCCAAAAGGAAAAATGAAAGTTTCTCTTTTTAAATTTAGTAATTTATACAAGAGAAGGGGTTACTAGCCCCTTGCCCCCGACATTTTAGTCGCCTCTTACAATACGCATGGCTTACGGAGGAAGAATTCTGTCCCACTTCCCCATGGAGATAAGAGGAAATAAACAAGAACTAACATTGAAATGGTATAAAATACCTAACAAACAAGAACTAGAAAGAAAATAGAAGAAAACCCAGAGGGGTGTGTATATATATGCTTGTACATGTATGTGTAGTGTGACCTAAGTATAAGTAGAAATAGCAAGATGTACCTGAAATCTTGCATGTTCATGAGACAGAAAAAAAGGACACCAGCAATCCTACCATCATGTAAAACAATTACAGGCTTTTGTTTTACACTTGCTGGGCAGGACAGTAGTACCTCCCTGGATGGTTGCTGTCTACCAACCTACTACCTAGAATATACAGTAATTATGGTTACATAATCTGTCACTTATCCTCTCTAATAATCCAGGAATTTACCTTCTTTGGTAAATCTTTAACATTTCTACCTTCACTGTTAAACAAATAAATTTGTAACAAATGTTTTCTCTATCTGGATTGAAATAAAGAAATTCTTATTTTTATAAATCTGACATGCCCAGGTTGTGATGTATATACAGCTGTAACTATTGACCTCTGGTTTATTATATCCATATTCCAGAAAGGAGCTTCGAAAAATGAATTAGCAGTCCTTTACATGTAAGCCCAGCACGCACCCATAGAGTCAACCATTAGTACCCAGCTTCACTTTTTTCCCCTTTCTTTTGCACTCTGTTAGTGTGGTACAGTACTTTGATTTCAGTTTCCACACAATGATTCAACTGAACAAATGAAGAAAATGTTGTAAATGGCCCCTTTTTGATATCTTTTTACTAATGAATATTGTTCCTTCAAGAGTTGGAGTCTCTTGACATTTTATTGAAGGCATGTTATAGAGAGAGAAGCTACATACAGAATATTGCAGAGGTGTCTCAGTATAATTCTTTGCAGTCATGTTCACTTCAAGTGGGTTAAGTCTAATAATTCCATCAAATTTCATTAGTCTGTATGTGCTCCACACACACACACACACACACACACACACACACTGTATTAAAATGCTCCAAAGCAGTTAGGCCACTTATCTTTATTGTCCCACCTCCCCTACCCCCACCCACCCTTTACCTATATTTCCAACCTTACCCCTCCTTCTTCCTTTCCCATCTTACCAAAGCTCTGGTAATTCATGCTTCATGCTATGCACTCCACTGATATTCTGATATTGAATGTAAAAAAATTGCACAATTGCAATGTGTGTTAATAATAGTTATTAAAATCATTCTAATACTGGCATATTTATTGATTTATTTATTTTATGTCTTTGCAAACAGTAAATTGAGATTTTATATTTACAATAGTGGGTTGCAATGCAAAGAGAGCCTCTATTATGCCTAGGCATTATGGGCCAACTTAACATTATTGGCTTATAGATTACTTAGTACTAAGGATTTTATCATAAGTACAGTAGGACAGGAATTATTTCATAGTTGAACAGATGTATTTAATTAATATTAGTAATGTCTGATGCCGAATAATTTCAAGTTCATGGATATGATGACAGCTCTCATACTTAAATGAAATATTATTCATGACTGGAAAGTGTAGCATTAAATAATAGTGTCAAGAAAATGTGTAATATTGTACTGTAATTAAGTATACAGGAGTTGTATTTCAAAAGGTATTGATTGCATTCTAAATTTAACAGACTGCATCATAAAATACCATTAATTTATTTTACAAAATAAAGCATGCTTTATTCAGTCCTGGTATTAAACTATAATGTATTGAGAAGCAAAAGATTCATATACTATTCTTACAGTACTGGAACTAGTTGTGTTGTATTGAGACCTCAGCTAACATATATGTACAATATGCACAGTTAGTTTTATCACAACATCCAGTGAGATCCTTGGCAACTATCTGGATACTCTGTAGGTGACATAGAGTATTAACCCTTTGACTGTCGCAGGCCCCTTTCTGAAACTGTCATTCTATGTCGATAAATTTTTGAAAAAAAAAAAAATAATTTTTTCTTATGAAATGATAGAGAATCTTTTCCCGATGGTAATGACACCAAAAGTTCGAAATTTGATCGAAAACTCACGGAATTACGCTCCCGCGAAGTTAGTGGTCTCGGCGACATATGCGTATCTGCGATTTCGCCAACTTTGAGCCCTATTTTCAGCCAATTCCGTTGTTCCAGTTGACCAAACTCAGCTATTTCTTTAGAACTCCATTTTATCTATCAGCTGAGTACAAGAAACTGCCCATTTACCAATTTGAACTACCCAATATTGTGGTCAGAAATTGGCAACTTGGCCAATTTCACGCAAACTAAAAAAGATGCCTATTTCAAAATAGGGTCCAGAATAAACAAGGTAGACATTCTTGGCACTAAAATAACATATCCTCTGTTCATTAGTCACATCTCTAGGCCCCTCTTATATTATTATTGCTTTCTATTTTGATTTTTTATTCATACAAAAAAATATAAAATTTACTGTTATGCAGACTACTGCATTATTGTAAAAATGGTATAAATAATATCAGTGCACTAGTGAAAGACTCCCCAGTTGACGTGTATTGGACGTGTGGTGTGATTTGTTTACTCCTGAACATTGGTAAAAATCGAACATTTCCGCTACTTTGAGCTCAGTTTCAAGGTCGTTTTCATCGTCAAAGTAATGAAAATCATCTCTATTTCTGTAATATGTTTTCCATTTTATCACCTAAGACCATGAAACCGCAAATGCAACGATAAATACTGTACGAAAATACACCTCAAAGTCGGTGTTTTAATCCAAAAAAAACGATCATTTTTTTTTCTCATTACGCACTGTGTGCTGCAGGATTTTTTTTATGTGGTGCACACTGACCACACAGACCCATTCTCTCACATGTGGGCCTACCAGCTTTCTCCCGCTTGATTTGAAGCCGCTACAACTATTGAGTATGCTTCCCCCTTGATTATAATAATAATGAGTATATATACGTCAGAAACAGTGGCGCATAAGACGTATTTATACGGCGTAAACAGTCAAAGGGTTAAAAAATGATTATCCTCATATCACTGAACTCGGTTTATTTTATTTTTTGCCATTGTGTTTTTTAAGCACTACCACTGACAGCCAGAGTATGTATAATAAGCGAATGTAAAAGCTTTGTAAACAAAATGTGGAATGTAGTGTGTCTTGTGAAGTGTGATTGTACAGCAAGAGCACAATGTGAACAAAACTAGACCAAAAAATTTGCAATGAATGGTTTGAAAAACCGACAAGTTGAAGATTGAGACACTTGTGCAACATATGGGAATCTTTATTCAGGAAACGTTTTGCCACACAGTGGCTTCATCAGTCCAATACAAAGTAGAAAGGTGTAAGGAGAGGAGGAGTTTGAGGTAATCAGTCCCTCAGCCTGGAGTCGATGTGTTCAGTCCATCAATGATGAATAAAGATTCCCATATGTTGCCCAAGTGTCTCAATCTTCAAAAAATTTGCAATTTGAATCCAGAATTTGGTCCTACTATACATTACAGTACCATATTACCATCGGGTTATGATTTGAGTTCTGTTATTTTTTCCATCCACATTCTTTTACAGTTCGTGCCATTTGCCATTTCACATCTACAAGTCAGTATCAGTGCACATAATGAAGCTGATTAATAATGATTTGAAAACTAAGGTATAATACACCTCTTTAGGAGAATATGTAAAACTAACATTTTGATGATGCTAGGCCCCATAAATGCTTAGAAAGGATGACATTATGGTGTAATACAAAATAAATCGAATCAAATATGAAGCGTCATTTTTTGTGGTTAATAGAGAAGAGAGAAAGCTACTTCTTTCTTTCTTTCTTTCAACGTACCAGCCGTATCCCAACAAGGTGGGGGTGGCCCATAAGGAAAAATTAAAGTTTCTCCTTTCAAATTTAGTAATATATACAGGAAAAGGGGTTACTAGACCCTTGCTCCCAGCATTTTAGTCGCCTCTTACGACACGCATGGCTTACAGAGGAAGAATTCTGTTCCACTTCCCCATGGAGAAGAAAGCTACTTATTTTATATATAGTACCTT